TGATCTAACTCTTGCATGTATTGAAAAAATTCGCCCATTATTTAACGACGATGTTATTAGCGTTCCGCATGGTTACTTGTAATGGTTGAAGCGTATTTCCATGTCTCTTTTATGTTTTTTATACCTACCGAATTCATTACACCGTCCGGAACAGTTTTTTGCAAGTATAGCAGAAGATCGCTATCGGTGGTCCAGCACCAGTGTAGCTTGAATTGATTAAAAAGTGAAATTTGAACATTTAATGAAAATATTGGAACAGAAGCAATTTTGGACAGTCTTAGGCAGTACGTAGTTATTAGAATACAAAAGGTCCCTTAATTTTCTCACGAAGCCAGCAACTTTCGCGTGTCGGGCTCGTGGGACCACGTGTCATCAGAGCGCGATCGAAATGCGCATTGAAACCAAGATGTAAATAAAGGATAATGGATGGTAAAACTATCGGCGTTGATCAATCCTTGAAGGATCCACCATGAATTCGACTTCATTAAGCATCGTTTGGAAGTAACTGAATGCAAATGTGCCCTTTACAATGACCCACGGTGGCCCACAGATGTAGCCAGTGCTGCTATTCTCCAAGGCAAGTCTGGTGCCAATTTGCTGACCCCGGAGGGATGGTAGGCTTGGTAGACACGCCCGTGAAATCAAGATGTACCGTCTGAAATTTAGAGCAGCGTACTTATTGAAATCAAAGGGACTGGTCGTGAAAGAGTTAAACATGGGTCAGGATCCCTACGTATACACACAGCTGCAATGGTTAAGAAGCAAGTAACGATAACCAATATGGTTCTGTATGATTGAGCTGACACGAGTTTGGTATAAAAGACTATTTTATTCCGCTATAAGGCGCCTTCGCCTTTTTGAGAGCCGCTTTGATCCCAGTCGATAGTCCACGGCTGGTCGACGTCTTGATATGGGTGTTCGTACTCGCATCGAGTCGAATCGAGTGGGGAGAGCACCGCTCGAATGGGAACTTAAGCCAGCGATGCCCTTTCATACAGCGCCGATGTTGGTTCTGTGCGTCGTGTAGCAATCGGTACTTTACTTCCTGACACGTAAAGTGACAATACATGTCTTAAAAAGCGACTTTCATTAACCCTTAGTAGCAAATATCAATAACTTTCGACATTACAGATATGGGGCATATACGGTTGAAGTGGTCCTATCCTAGACCGTGATGGGACAGTGCACATAACATGTCACGACGCCGGTGGGTAGACACTCGAGAACAATCTATGTAAGCAGTTTAGTAAAACAAAAGATAAGGATAACTTTAACATAAATGATTACTAGAACAGCAATTTACTCAGCATTTGATAGTGGTTAATGCTGCTCATATGAGTGGAGAGCTTAACAGTGAAGTTTACAACATGAAGTGGAAAGACGTGAAGCTGACAATAACAGAAGGTGAGGTTAATTGTCGTAATAACCATTATTATTATATGAAACGTGAGATAATATGGAAAAATAGGGATTTTCTGGAGAACAGTTCCTATGGAAAGAATCTGGTGTTAGAGGATCAAATCATGAAACCGACTTCATCGCTTGTAGTCAATATGTTGTTTTGATCCGATTCTTATAATTCGATCCCTACATAATTCGGGATCTTTGCACCTTTCATCCGTTACCCGATCAACATTGAAAATGTGGACGTCCATCACACAGTGTGCTGATCTTTATTTATTGAATGTACCAGCTCCCTTTTCATAGACTGTCATAATAGCCTAGCAAGGTGTTATCAAATCGTTACCATGGCGACTTGCCAACTCTTGTGAATTTGAGACGAGTTTCTCACCGTTTGCCAGGTTGAATCTTAATATTGGTTCAGTGTTAGCTAGGCTTTCAGATAAAAATGATGGATTGTTTCTCAGCTTAAGAAACATTCTTTAGGCATCTACATCCCGTTGCTTACCATTTTCTAATACACATAAGCATAAACACCCTTTGTCACGATGAGGAGGAAACTACGGTGAAGAAGAGGCGTTTAGTAATTTTACTAGTCACTAATTCGAAAGAACGAGCTCGAGGATTTCCTGCTGATTACACTTTTAAGTGTTACAGCACAGTAGTACAGCAGAAATACTAGGTTTCCTTCACAATTTTATATTACTCTATTTCATCTGGCAAATATTTAAATTTCCCTAAGATCGTGGACGACGTAGCACAGACCGTCTTGGGACTGGAAGGAATTACTTGCTTACCTAACCTACTTAGTTGTTTGGTTAGCAAGTTTTCACTGGTCGTGCGGGACCAGCACAATTTCCATTCTCCGGAGAGTTGCTGGTTTAGCAATCGTGGTTGCCTCGTGTCAGGAAATCAGTTTAGCCGAAACCTTCCTCAGGTTGTCACCACAACAGACACTCGCCTCCTTTGTGGATTGGAGGAAGATTTGCAACCATGCGGCTGGTTTGATACCAGGACGGTCGTGGATTCTGGTACTAGTTTTCTCTTAGCTGGGCTTCCCGATGGAAACGCCACATCTTCTGAGCTTGGGAGCTCCTACTGAAGGGCGAATATCCCCGCACAACAACGCAGCCTGGCACCCAGAAACACCTCACTCCTCACGAGGCCGTAAACCGTTGGCGGGATTGGAAGTAATTGACTGCGAAAAATCCTCATGCCACAAGCTTTAATAGTGTTCAACATGTATTTATCTGAACAGTTACTACAGTTTCCAACAAGTCAAATATTTCAATTCATCGAGATGATATTTATTTTTCACCTTCTGTGAGAAGTCCACCTTATCAACAAGTTCACATCACATTTATCACGTTTATTTGATACTCCATCGAATTTTACGGAAATATCCACATACATATTACTAACAATACTTCAGAGAAGTAATCATCGGCTACGATAAACTACATAAAAAATGCATAATAGAGTTCATATGGCCAATAAATTAGAGAGCTATAAACTAATAGGTCATGAAAATCGCCGTTTTACCAGATCACTACTATATGGATTTGTGAAATTTATCTGATTAAGAGGTCTGTCTATTCCTCTCCGGACGGATTTGCTACCGATTTATCAGGTTTTAAGAGACAAATTGAAGGGTTAACACGATTAACCTGGGTCTACGTGGCCAAAACCAACGGCCACAATTGTGCGACTGAAGACTCATTACAATGCATTACACTCATTCAACACTTTAGAATACTGGAACATATATCAGGTAGTATAGGAGTGCAGTAAAAACAGTAGTTAAGTAAGAACTCGTTAGAGCGTAATGAATATAAGTAAAGCTCTATCTATTGACAGGATAGGAGGCTAACAATATGACAACGTTCAGAAACAACGAGATAACTCTAAAGAATTGAAGTAATAAACGTTACTAAAGTCTGTAGACAAAAATATGATACAAAGCATCGTATATCTAATAATTTTGGTGAAAATATATCATAAAGAGGAGTTGCTGCTACGTTCATAATGATTGTGGTGAGAAAGAGATGACTGATCTATCGATATAACATCCACATTAGCGTTCCAACTCAAGAAATGTTAGAGAGGTACTTCTTGAGACTTACTCCTAACTATATGCAAAATAAAGCGTCTTACGTCTTACGTATGTCTTAAATTTTGTTAAGGTAAGAAAGCACAGAAGTTAGTAAGGAGCAAATGTTGAAAAATGCCCCTCAGCTCAAATGCTCATTCCATGACGTCCGAAAGAGCGTCTATCGATTGAACCAAGGGCCAATGGACTCTGCTAACTTCCTTCAACAATCGATTAATGAAAACAGCAACAATTTACAGTTGAGAAGTTCATTTGCAACGCTAAGCTTTCAATATTCATTTTGCATTAGATCAGGAAGTGATGAGGAATGATGGATCACCATAAAATATCGCATAAGCATACAAAAAGCACAAAGTATCATTACAGTACTTCAAGGATAGAAGTTTTGTAAAAAAATCAAGCGAAATGAGAGAACTTGATCAAAGAAAAAATCGATAAGTCAGTTAATCAGTTAACTTAAATCGTTGCCTAAAATATCAGATGCTTTTCTTAGCCTCTTTTAGCAGAGGATACAATGTGTCAGACTGTCCTAATGACCGTTCCGATGGTTTTGGAGGAAAGTAGTGTGGAAGCACGAATAGAATCACCAAAGCCACAATATGAACAACAAAGTAGACACGCCTGAATAATGAAATAAAAATTATGGAGTCAGTACAAAAGTGGTAGATACTTTTTTTGTATGACCCATCTTCACGTCTACTGTGCGGATCCCAGCACTTCTCACATTCAATTCGTTTCCTGGCATCCATCCACGAAGATCTTCCAACTTTTTTACGTGTGGCTTCTGTTGCTGCTTGATGACTATCATTTCATCTCGAATGTCGTAGAATGCTGGTCGAGCATTTCTTAGTTGAGTCCTGAGATAGCAGGGCTGGAGCGTTCCCAATTGGAATGCAGAGAGTGATTTTTTCCCAGACAAGGCCGGTAACAATTCCCCTACCCCAGAGGGATGAGAGACTTGGTTGGCCTGGAGCGTAATCGAACTAGCACCATGCTCATGATGACGGACATCACCATCACTATGTTATCGCCCCCTATCCGGTAGATATACAGTGCTAGAAATGTTGGAACTACTACTTCAATAAATTTCGTCACGTAAGCCACTTTTGCCCATAAAACCAAATATTGTCTGTTATCTACAGCTTGTCTCCAGAAGTAATTATGCCCATTTAGCATAATCTCCACTTCAGTGGCAATTGGCTGATGGGTTAAGACTTTCTATCGTTGTAAACTTGACAAAGTAGTGCTTTATAAGCTCCACATAAGAACTCGACTGTTGCGAAGTGATGGAAGATTTACCACCTTTCAACTAGGTAAATACCAAGACTACAGTAATTTCAGACAATTGTTTACTCTCAGCTGGGTTTCCGGATGGCAAATTCAATGAGCACAGCTTGTCAATCTTCATACATCTTTCAACTCATCGTAAGCGTTTTCCTGTTGCTGTCGCTACAACCAGCAGAGCCAAAGTATTAAATGAATAGAATACTTACTTGTAAACAAAAAGAGCTGGATCCAAATTCATCACCACAAAAGCGTACGTCGTATACGCTAAGGCGACCTTCGTCGCAACAAATGACACAACATCGTAAGCCGCTTTCTGTTTTGAACATTCTAAGAAGCGATGTCGCATACAACGACGGAACTAAAGAAATCGAAACGTTTTCAACAAAAAAAAAATCCTCGAAAAACATCGAGTGAATAGAGGCGTAATGAAAAACAAACTGGATCCATCTTCACATAGAAGCATCTAAAAAACACTCAAGTCGCAAAACTCACAGTGGCACCAGTTAAGGTGATGAGAGCTCCTGTAGAGAATGTGATGTAGTATCCCACTGATATACCATGCCATAATGCTGATAGCATATAAGTTGCGAACGTCCGGATTCTGAAGTTGTAAGAATGGAAACACAGCACAGATACAAGTTAAATGATAACATGGAATCAATAAATAACAATAATTGTAAATGCAAATGGAACGAAAATATTTCTTCAAAAATAATGGAAATACTTCTTTGGCGTCCTATCGTATGCGACACGTCGAAGCCATCCACCAGTTTGAATATTCCAGCCGTCCAATGTTTCTTTGAAACTCTGAGCCATCTGAAATATTAAAAGATTTACATTGGCAAAATGAAAACGTACAAGTGTATCAGCTCTTGATCTTTTGTCCTTTTTTCATTCCTTACAATAAGAATAGTCTCGAAAATACATGGTGGTCGGAGTGTGCTAGCTCTACAGTGAAAGTTCAATGCAGCCATATTATATATATATATATATATATATATTAGTGCATTATAACGGACAGGAAAGTCTGGTCAACTAGCCCTACAGCTTTACCACTGAAGGAACCGTACGGCACCACCAAAAAGGAGGAACAAGCTATTGACATCTGACAGAACAGGAAAGAGTTGCGTGAACGACGAGCAACTGTGACTTTTTTTTTCGTGTCTAATGCATCCATTCATGCATCCAGAGCTGATGAACCAACCAAAGAACTATACTGTTCAACACCGAATATTCAAGACGTCTAGATACAAGTAAATAGTTGTTAAAGTAGCAGCCCTTTTGAACATTAACACGATCGCCAAGGATTTCAAGGCTCTTAATCCCACCATAGAAGTCATTTTCCAGAGACAACAATGACTCAAGTATAATGTCGTGCATGTACAGTGAAACAATATGGCTGAATTCTGCTTAGATGATTTGCATCAATTTCGGTTCATGGAAGTAGGAAGCGCTCTTGGTTAGAGTTGGTGCGCAGTACCTACATTACATGTAGTGGTTCCATAGCGCTTTAGACCAACAAGGTTTCCCAACCCTTCAGAGCCACTAAATTGGTTCTTGTCTTTTAAAATCTCTTTCTGATCAATAAAAAACGATGGCTTCTTGTGTTTAAGACCTACAAACGCTCAATCAGAGCTATCCCATAACTCCAACAAGAATAAGTTCCACCAGAATTCAACGAAATTCGTAAAGAAAAACTCTCAAACAGTACCCAACCCACACGTCATCCGTAACCCCGAACAGCCTCATGGACCACATACGCAGTGCAATGAACCGAATGCAAGAATTGCTGCTTTCACACAAAATGTTGGAACCACGAACCTCCATCATGTCGAATATTCGAGCCCACTATTCTCAAATATACGTGCTGCTTTTTAAGGAAAAGACAATGGAAAAAATATGGCTTAAAAGTGATTTTACATATTTCTTGAGAAGCGTGTGGATTAAGCACAACAACTCAGTGTCTCTGCTATGTTCTTCTACTTTCCAAACTTGACTATGTATACTCTTGCACACAAACGTGGCCGTGTTTATATATATGCAGACTGCCTTTTACATCTTAATTCCCCTGAAAGTCTACAATCAAGTAACAAGTGGTCTTCAACAAATAACCTCTATATCTATTCTCCAAATAAACCATGAATACGAACGACTAACGACACAGCCTAACATGTTTATACGGTGTCTCTAATTCGGGAACGCTAGAAGAGAAAAGTGCCGAGAAATAGCTAACACCTGAAAACCACTAGAACGTAAATCATAACAACGACCTGTAGTAACAGCTCACGGAAGCTAATACTGGAAGTATCCACTGAGTGATAGCAATGCAAATAAACGCTAAACCGACCCCTATTTGATCAAATTGAAATCGATTAAAAGATATCTATAGCGTCATCTATAGTACGACTTTGTTAACAAACACTGGGTCACTAACCGTCAGAATCGAATGTGTACGAGTTAGAAAATGCGGAAAGACTTAACTAAACAGTTTAGAAAGAGGAAGCGAGTGATGTATGGACCTTATATGAGTATCAAGAATGTAGTGAAGAGAACAAAGCAAGCCTAGCTCTGTCCACCCTTTTCGTCTCAACGTGCCTAAGAAACAGGGACGCCAGCTATGCAGAGCAAAACCGTTGTGATTACGAATAGACTATACAGAAGCTGATACTGTAAGCACAATTAAATTTCGTCAATAAGATCATAGTTGACCATGGAACATTATGCTTTTGTTTCCCTCTATCAAGAAACGGCCTTTACGTTGACTGGCAACTCAGCATATTCTAGTCTAATCTATAAAAACATCCTAATAAAAAATCTTTCTATCGTCAGCAGTACTGGTAGAATAAGAAATCAGAAAACAGTCTGTGCGATACACACCACAACTTTACAAAACTCGTGAATCCAGTGCTCGGGTGGGAAAGGAATTGTTACTGAAGATGCGACTGTTTATGGATATTCGTTGTTGACTTCAGATTAAATTATATTAAAATCTTCAGAAAATTGATGACCTATGTTCCAAAAATTTATATAAATATTATCATTGACATAAAGAGGAGGGTACAAAGGTTCGATGATAAGCTGTAGCTTTACTGCAACTTTTTAACGCCAAACTCGACGAAGCTAGAATATCAAGAATTTTGAGTAAACGTTGATGGTCAATAATGCCAGCACATCAAATCGATCAATACATTTAATAAACATACCAAGGAAATATTTGTAAAACTCACGTCCCAGAAGAGACCTGATCTCATGATTCCCCTTTCTGCACGCTTACTAGTTACCCACTGCACCGTCGACCCTCAACGCCCTTGCTTCGCCTTCCTTTCAACCAGGTTTCTCAGTGGGAAACAAGTGAACACAGAAAAGTGTGATTGCGGATTCGAATCCTGGTCTGGAGACCAAATTTTGCAAATACCTCAGAGTAAGACGTAGGGGACGATAATGGAAACAAATGAAACAAGAAATGAATGTATTCCTAATGGTCCAAATGCCGTCCTGGTTATCTCTATCAACTCTATTTAAGAAAGTTATTCGAGACAACAAATCACCTTCAGCAAGTTACGAATCATGTACGACTTACGTCGTCGTCATGCTTTAAAGATCAGTAAGATAAACTTAACGGAGTTCACTAATGTCATGTTACCGTATTCCTGCTCAATAATATGAATTCTTTTTTCTGACAATGAATATTGCCTTGCCCTTATATCAGAATGAATTACACTAACCTCAACTTGGTATGGTCGAACATTTGTGCAAAGATCCCATTTTGCTTCTCCATTTTCATCATAGCCACTAAACCCAAATCCGGACATATTACATACGGAATCGGCTAAAAAGCAGATAGAAATACGAAATAAACTGAACAAACAAAATGAAAAGAACAACCGCAAAAATATGGAACTTTGTTACAAAACCACTCTTTTAAACCTCAAGAAATACACCAATGAATGGATGCATGGAGTGTATGGATTGTACATGTAAAATTTTTGACTTAAAGTGGAAACTACGTGGAAAAAAGGACTTTGAAGCTTAGATACGAGGTTCATCCCGTATTCAAATGGCTTTTCCAACGCTGGCACGATTCGTAACCTATGATTATGATAACTATGATGATTACCTAGAGAGCGTGTGGCGCAGTGATCCAAAGCGCCCTGCAACATACACGTGGAATCGATCTCTATGCCCATAGCCCATCAAGCCTTCCATCCCTCTGGGGTCGGAGAATTGGTACCAGACTTGTCTGGGAGGATTGCAGCACTGGCTCGATACGAAGATGAATGCATAACGCATCCCTCAAGGATTGATCAATGCCGAGAGCTTTATCCTTTTTTATCCTTTACGATGATTATCTATGATTGCCTCTCAATGGTTTACCGCCTCATTGTGGCCGGGATGTGTTCTTGGGTAACGCGCTGTGATGTACAGGGACGATATTAATCTTCCCGGCAGAGTCTCCCAAGCTGCGAAACAGCCCGACGTTTCCATCAGGAAGCCCAGCTAAGAGTAAACCAATACCAGGATCCAGCACCGTCTTGGTACCAAAATACTCGACTGATGGCAAATCTTCTGCCAATCCACAAGGGCGCATCCGCCCGTGGTGGTGACTACCTGGGGCAGCGTTTAGCCGGGTTGACCTTGGGACTTCAGGAAACCACAATGGCTAAACCGGCAAGACTCCGAAAAAGCGGAAATTTTGTTGGGGTCCGCACCATCGGTGAGGACAGGCCACTTAAGTATCAATTAAGTAAGTAACCTAATGATTAAGCGCTTGCAGATTAAACAGTCCTGGACTATAATATTATGAAATACATGAAGAATGTGGAATGTTGATCACAATAGTAAAATTTTTATAAAAAATACAAATCATAGCGACTTTCTGGTAGAACTCTGGAAACACTTTGGTCCAACAATCGCAAAACTTCAGGGCAGAAAGACTCAAAAGCAGGTATGCCCTAGGCAACACGTCCGAATTTGTCACCTTCGACGAAATATGGTACGATACTCAATGAAAAACGATCAACTATTACGTTCCATAGGATAGACAAGATTCTATACTAAAACAGGAAATCCGCAAAAATAAAGAAAGATTTTTTTAAAGTTAAGTTGAGTACTCCTCGCAATGGCTAAGTTCATTCCAAAGCTGTCGATCAGACTATCTATGCATAAACCACATTGAAATGATTGCCAATGGTTGCTTATTAAGTTGTTCACATCTAGAAATGTTATAAATTTTGCATTTGTTAAAGAAGTTTTTCTCGATGACTCGGCATACCATAAAAGGAAAAAGCATATATCGACAATAGTTTTCTGACTGAATCGATGACAATAGAAGTAGAAAAAAATTAAAAGTGAGCTAGAACATGTCTGATAGCTGAAGTAACATAGAAGCAGAAGTACAGCGCAACGAGAAAATTGTGGGAAGGAGTAAGCATGTAAACTTCCTTGTGTCCTTAATATGACCAATAAGTGCAAACCAGTAATTAAACGACGTACACAATTTCCCTTAAAAAACAAACAAATGAATAGAAAAAGTTAGTACTGACCAAATGTCCACGCAAAGTAGTAATTCACTCGAATTACTAGAAGAACAGTAAACCACCACATAAACCACAACACATACGGTAGCTCAAGGTACCTGAATTATTTCATAAAAAGTTATTCTCTGATTATTAAACTATGGAAAAATCCTAGCATTCGACAAAATCCATAGCGCACAGAGCAGCATATGCGACTTAGGGCGTGAAATTAAAGGCCGCTTCTAACATCAAACCAACGTTTTAATGACCGTGTGAAATTTATTACTTGAAGCTAGAACCAGTATAATATCCAAACTTCTGAAAACCGGATACAAGCTTTATTTTTGTAAGGAATACAACGCTCGGCGTTAAGCAATCGTTTAGAAATGTGCCATCCTTTCTCCACAATTCGTAATATTGTAAACGTGACTGAATCTATATGTGACCTTTACGATGATTTACAAAAGTACCACCAATCTATCAAAATAGTGTTCTCATCTTTCTACACAAGTCTGACACCAGTACGCTGACTGAAGACTTTGTGTGCCCGAAGTGAGGCATCGAGCTAGCGATGGATCAAATTTGCGCTGCACGTCAAACTACTGCACTACACACTACCTTCGATGGTTAGATCCAGAACTTCTGGAACCCATAAAACTTTTCCCGCAGCTCCCTCTTTCACTGATGCTTTTATTTCAAACATCAAAGCAATTGAACAAGCATGATTTCGCCTATAAGAACATGAGGGCTCATCCTAATGTGCCGCTTGTATTTACCATCTCAGACCTTGTGTTGAAAAGTTTAAAAACCTAAATTTCGTCAATATTCCGAAAAACCTGATACCGAATAAGTTAGAACTGGAAGTCGATGTGAGTCACAGATTTCTTAAATGTGTAGAGTAAAACCTTTTTAAAATCTTTTAAGTCCGTGTTTTTCTCAATTAGCCTATTGTTCCAGAAAATAATAGTACTCATCGAAATCCAGCACAGTTGCAAGAGTTTAAGGAATGGTTAAAAAGATTACGTCAACAACTGCAAAACACTTCCGTTCTGCTGTGCCAACTAACATCCGTCATACTCATTCACATATATAGATGAACAAATTCATTCATCAAAAAATAATTACAACAATAGTCACTAATGGTAACAACTATTTAGTTTCTCATCATATCTTCTTAACCATCCAAAGGCATTTAATTGACATATTTGCTAAATCAACAATTATTAAAATAAATTTATTAAAAACTGCAATTTTCCACCAACAACTGTCATAAAGAAATCCGCAAAACATAGAGAACATTCCCATGAATATCGACTATTCTCCACACGGTTATGCCCTCCACCCTAGTAGGACTCGAACTTGCAGTCTTCGGATCTGAAGTCCGACGCCTTACCTATTACGCCACAAGGCCACTCTTACCTACGGTTTACCGCCTTATTGTGGCTAGAAAGTGTTCCTGGATATCGGAATGCGATTCAGTGAGAAATTCATCTCCCGGTAGCGTCTCCCAAGCTGAGAAGTCCAGCGTTTCCAACAGGAAACCTAGCCAAAAGTAAAGCAATACCAGGATCCACCACCGTCCTAGTATTAAACTAGTCGAATGGCGATAAATCCTCTGATCCAAAACGACGGCCACTATCTGTGGTGTTCAAGACCTGGAGCAGACTTTGCCCAGGCTGAGCTCGTGACTTCAAGGAACCACAGTGGATAAACGAGCAAAACTCCGAAAAATGGAGAATGTGCTGGGCCTGCAAAACGAGTGAGGATGAGCCGTCCAAGTGTCCAAGTAAGTTATGATGCACTCGCCTCGAAAGATGTAGTCATCTTCTACCAGCAAAGTTCTCTGTAAGTCTTTTCTATGACGATTTGATAACCTTCTCTGAGAGCTACTGCTAGGTTGTTTATCTGATGTGTATTTTTCGCATCTACCGTATCATGCTTCGAATCAACCTTATCTGATTGCCTGCCTGAGAAAAGTTCTTTCATCTCCCCTTGAGGAACTATCTCTTGGCTATCTCTAAATTCCGCTCGTTATAGAACGAATATAAGCAGCTTCGTCAGTTAACTGGAGCGCTTCTACAGTCTCCATCTTGATCTTGCCGATAGGATTCCTCGCCCTTCTGTTTATTGTTATATTGTTAGTGTCGTACACGTAACTTTCTCCCAAACCACCTTCAAGTTTTGTCTCGTGTATTGGTGATCTTATTGCTAAATTAGGTTTGGATAAGGTTAATCATTTTGGAAGGGGGTTTTTACGGTTGGTAAAAGTTCATTGGTAGCCATGCCTTGTTTAAAAGTTGTTTGTTCGCCAGTACTGCTATAAACGGTTAAAACACAATCTTGAGATTGTTTTCTGTGACAACATACGAAAAGCCCCGAGTGCCACCTAGGAACTGTAATTCACAAACGCTTACTCTCAAGACTTAATAAGAATGTGGAAAAGGTACTCAAACGGTTCAAGGATGATCAATTAGAAACGATCACTACTACATCCGCAAAGAGAAAAATAATAGCAACGTTCGTCCAAAAAAGCCTACAACAACTAAAGAAAGAGTAGGTGCTCCCAAAAAACTAGCGCCAAAACTTTAACATGTATGGCACGAATTTACAACAAAAATGGAGGAACGAGACTCAGTGTTATCGAAAGATGAGGAAAACCTTGAAAAATATTAGCACCGCAAAAGAAACACTTGCAAGTGGATTGGAATATACCATAATTCCCCACGCTCGCAATAACGCCTTTGAAGCACACGCCGACTGCTCAGCCACATCATATAAACTCTCCACAACAAACAGTGGAAATGGCGCATCCAGCAACACTAATGTTGTTAAGAATCTAGAGTTACCACCCGTCCCCATCCCATAATCTAGCGGAGAAGTGTGGAAATGGGAGGCATTGTGGAGAGCGTTCAATCATTCAGCGCAATCACAAAGGATTTCCTCGAAATGAACTACCTGCTAGATGCTCTTCAAGAAGAGGCAAAAAAGCTCGTCAAACGCTACGCAGTATCTCAGGAAACACACGCAATATTGGTATCCAACTTAAAAGAAAAAATTTGGAAACCAACAAACGGTTGTCAAACAACTACTACATAGAGTACGCACGGCACAAGTACAGAGCAGTTACCCCAAAAACCAAGAAATATTGTGTAAATCACTCTAGTCAATGATCATTCAACTACGCCAGCAAACAGAATTTGTCGATAGTCGCTTCCTGTAACGACAAATTCTCGAGAACTTCACGGAAAGCACACAAAGATGCGTCCTACAGCGAAGAAAACGGCAAGGTGAGCATGAAAGATGGAAAACAGAAGAACTTCCGAAAAGCATTTAGGAATATACTAACGAAGAAATAGAACTGTAAAACCAAGCAAGGAAAAGGTTCGACCAGAGCATAAAGTTCCGAAACAAGCAAAATAGAACCCCGCAGCAAGTTCATCCATCACTTGTGTCACTTGTTTATCCATACCAACAAAGAACTCCTATAAATAGAACATATTTACGTTTCCACTGCGAAAAAAGTAGGGCACTCAACAAACCACTGTAAATAAGAACAAACCTAGGATGAAAGACTGAAATTTGTGAAAGAGAGAAATCTACGCTATAACTGTGGATCGATATCAGAGCAAACTTCCTGTTGCAGAGGTTTCTCACGAATACGCGACAACCAGCGACATCATACCTCCACTTGAATAATTCAGGAAACCCCAGAAGAATATGTCTCTTCAACGCGAAATCAATCAAAAGAATAAAAACAAATGAAAACAGACTTAGGATGCCCAGTGCTAGCTCGAAGGTAAATCAAGTCCGATATCAGACATCCTCCAAAGCGAAAGCTTTAACACTAAAATGACTTCCATAAATTCAACAACGAAACAACTATCAAAAGATTCCGTCTTTTTGGGCACTGGTGCAGAGATATTCTTTATTTACGAAACACCCGCCCAAGAACTTCCTCCGTTCACAAAAGAAAAAGCGAAATCACACCTAAACACATTAGACTCTGATACCATACAGGAACATATATCACGGAGTGTCCCACTTGAGGTGTTAGATTTGAAGCGCTATCAGATTTCATTATTTCTGTCAACACATAGTGCTATAACTAAGCCGATCAATCTGTCCAGAAGATAAAGACTTATTTCCAAAGAGCAATATCCAAATCGATATCGACGGAAGAACATACGACTTCCAAAACCTTTCATTATACTCAGATGTGACCAACTGTAGGTCCTAATTAAAAAGCATAAACCACATATAGAACTCCTATCAGGTCTGCACCTTCTTCCAACACGTCCAAGACACTTGTGCACAAGAACACTCAAAAATTCGCCACATTCACAACAAAAGCAACATGACATCTGGTCTCTACAAGCACAGCGAAACGAAGAGAATGCGTCACAACCACAAGAACACTACGAAGATTAACTAGAAGAATAGGATCAATATTGGTCAATGCACGTTCAATTCAGTCAATACTGTTACAAATACATACATACAAAGTTGAGCAGTAAATTCGAGCTAACAACTCTGACAACTAACTATTCGAACAATATTTTTATCACCGTGAACGCCACCACACAAAATAATAGAGTGCTAATTGAGAAAATCGCTGTTGAACTCTTCCTATCGTATTCGATTCTCGTTAAAGTCTATACGTTCTATCACAGAACTTTCTATGATTAGCTTAGGGGCGCGAGAAGTCTGTAGTCAGCGATGTCCGGATTGTCACTAGTTCAATACTGCCCTGTCCAAGCCAAGCCTCCCATAATTTGGGACTCAAAAAATTGGTATCAAACTTGTATAACAAGAGCCCTTCCGATCCAAAAGGCAGGCGAAAACCTGCGAACGCTTTAGTGAAGCACGCTCGTGATTTCAGAGATTATCAGTAAGATGAATATTCAACAAAATTCATGATGAAGATAAAGTTTGCAAGTAGCATCTAAACCTCCACTCAAATCCAAGAACTTTCGTGGAGACGGGTGGGGAAGAAACAGTGAAATATACATGCTATGTGACGTAAGGTCATATAAAGTGAACAATGAAAGATTAAAAAAACCGCTGTGAATGAAACCTACTCTTTCTCAAGAAGAATTTCTGGTGGATAAGAAGCCCCAACTTTTAATATCACCAGCATATAACACAACGATTCAAGCAATTTTCGCACTGAAGCACGAAAAGGCGATGGTATCTACAAGCATTATTAGATAAATAGTGAGCAGACAGTTGTGACTAACTGAGTACGAGAAGGAAACCAAAAAAATCTGTTTAAAACTTACTTCGCCATTCTTATTGGGCACAACATGAACACCATCAAGGAACGCCACATAATCCGAATAGAAATTCACAGGACCAGTGAGAGCTGTCTCAAATATAGTGATTACTGACTGATAGGCAAAATCTTGTAATTAATCAGAAATTGATTTTTATTTACGTTTGCATTTTTATTACTAACGATGGTTCAAGATGCTGAAGACGGGCAAGTTATAGAAACCAAGGTTAAGCCATTTTCTTCTTATTGCTTTTCACTATTCCACTGTTCTTTCTCGGTGTTGTGAATTTCTAAATGTTGCGTTTTCTTTTCGATACTTGATATCTTGTTTCTTTGTATCTCAAAGCAAACATGGAATTTAAATCTACATAACGAGGTGGGGAATCTCACATGTACAATGAACTATTGACAATCCTCGTTAGAGAAATGACATGACTATCTTCGGGAAGAAAACCATTCAGTGCCGAGTAAAATCTTTTTAAAAAATCAAACTATGATATCTTTAGAGCATAAGTCTTTCTAATAGTTTACCACCTGATCGTTGCTGGGAGGTGTTCCTGGGTGTCGGGCTGCGATGAACATCAGAGGTTAGTCCACCCCACAGGGCCTCCCATGCTCAGAAGGCGTCCGACATTTCCATCCGGAAGCCCAGCTACGAGCAAACCAATACCGGCAATCACCACCGTCCTGGTATAAAACTAGTCACATATTCAAAAATCTCCCTCTGATTCAGGGGAGTGGGTACGATTGCCTGAGATGAGGCGACCAACAGAGCGCTTCGGTTGACGTGACCTGGGGACTCCTAGGAACCACATTAGCTAAACCAGCAAAACTAAAACCTCAGTACTCCAGACACTGGACACTCCTGTCTACGGCGTTGGGCGGTGAGACCACTGTTGAGAGATGTTCAAATCTCAGGTGGCACAGTATGTCATTGGAAACGAACAAGATGAGAACGCCCACGACACGCCACATGGAAACTGATTTTTGTTTGCGCCTACAACTTTAGTACGCCTATAACCACCTATAAGCCCAGCTAACGGTAAGCCAGTACCAGGATCCACAATTGTTCTGGTATAAAACTAGTCGCATGGTGGCAAATCTACCTCTGATGCACAAAGGCGGAGACTGCCAGTCGTGATGACGACCAGGGCAGACTTTGGCTAGGCTGACCTCGGAACTCTGGAGAGCCATAATGGCTAAAACCAGCAAATCTCCGAAAAATGGAGATTATGCTGGAGCTAGCACACCCAGTGAGAACGGGCCGTTCAGTATTAAGTAAGAAAGTATAACTTCAGTACAGTATCATGAGGTGCCGGACTTTACGCTCTTCTTGAGGCTGCTGATCGTATGGAATTCCAAGTGATTGCCCTACAGACCAAAAGCGAGAATCCTACATACGGCAATAAGATGACAGAACTTTTGTCGTTCGTGGAGGGAAATTTGTGTTACGAAATGTCGGAGGCGTCAGTTTTATTGTATAGCCATCTGTTTCCTTTTTACTCTCCTAATAAGTCCTGTCACTGCGCTTGGCCATTCTTCGTATCCAATGTGCACGTCAAAAAAAAAATCAGTATCATCAACAGTTACTCACCAACTTGTACAGCTAAGGGCGAATTAAACGCCTTTTACAACCAGTTGGAAGAAGTAATGTACAACGAGAACTCTTTCCATAAATTCGCTGCTGGAGACTTCAACGGCAGATTAGGAAAGGCCAACGAAATTGAGTAAAGGACGGCGAAACTCCGAGTAGGACGAAAAGAGAACTGGAACCGTCTTATAGGACTTTTGTCCGTAGCATATCTTTCCAAGGAACTTCATTTCTCGAAAATAGAGCAAACCCCGCTGGTGGAAATCGAAGCCTCCTAACGGCACGACTCACGGGCCATCGATCATATTCTTTTATTTTTAAAAAACACTGCATGCAAAGATACCGACTAATTCAAAAACAGAATAAACTAATAAATTGTATTAGCTAAATGTAGCTTTTGAAAATATTCACTACCTGAAAATTGAATATGTACGACATGTAATCCAGTAATGACGGAATTTCGCTGAAAAAAAAATAGAAAACTTTTATTATTTATATTCATAACACTCCTATAGAATAAATCAATCAGTTAGTTATTAATTGTAGTAGAAATCGACACATAGGAAAGTGGAAGATCTTCTTAGAGACCAAGACGATAAAGCAAAAAGAAGTTGGTTACTAACGTTACTGCCTCCTTCCTCTGAATTTCAGTGAGTTCCTCTTTTTTCTTCACTTTACCGTCATGCAATGAGAATGCCAGCGTAGTGATCTGAAAACATCATTCACATGTCTCAAAAGTCGCGCGTGAGCAGATAAATACTAGGTCATACTGTGGGATTCCTCTTCAAATTCTTTTTTGAAATTATTCAGCATCTCTATCTTACTGTATTCTAACGATGTTAACATATGGGTCTCAGAATGGCTTCCACATGTCTCAAATGTCGCGCATACGGAAAAAGAACCAGTAGATTACAGCATGAAGCACAACTTCTTAAATCACTTTCTTATCATTTAAGATCCTAAATGACTATTAGTCATCACACAAAAACTCGTACAAAATATTTTTGAAGCAAATGTATAAGCAAATGGTTGATGACTGATGACCACTGCGTGAACTGGAAAGAAAAAGAGCCAACAAAGATTTTAGAAACGCGCACCTTTTGGACGGCTACCATCATAGGTCCAGTGATATCCAAGCAGTATTTGGTGAGTATTAACCAGCGATAAAAGTGGATGAAAAGCAAATACATCATAGAAAAGCCGAACACGAGCCTATAATGAAGAAGAGGAACAATGCTTATCAGGTAAATAGAATAACAATGTTTAATAAAATAAACGGAAGTGGGGTAGCACAGTGGTCAGTGATGACATCGACCAGAAAGAAGAGGCGCTTGTTCGACTCTCTCCGCAACGTTCTCCTCCAGTCTACGTGGGAGCACCTTAGCCCTGATACCTCCACGATTTTAAGAACAATCGATCCCACCAGCATTATACGATATACAGAAGAAGGATCAAATCCTTAAGCAGAATCTGAAACAACACGCGAAATGTTCGAAGACCTTTGTGGACGCTGAATTTGACGGAAATAAGTGGAATACAAGAAGTGCTGGGATCGGCACAGTAGATGTGATGACAAGTCACGTAAAGAAAAAATTAAATAAACAATTTGGAATAGGCCTATACAGTTTCATGTCAGGGATCTCAAGTCGGTTACTCTCCGGGCTACGCACGCTTCCTAAAATAAGACGTTGGATGATGAACAAAACGATAAAGAAATTGCTTTTAGAAGGAGATAAACTTAAAGGATAGATTCCAGCAGAGCTAGCAAGCTGCCTCTGGATGGCTCCACACTAGAAGCAGCAAGAATAGAGAACCTTCTCTCAGTATCTGAAAGTTGGCAGCGATACTACATTACAGTAGAATAAAGCAATAGTAAACAGAATCAGACCACCGTTGCCTTCGTTCGTGACTACCCTACCGTGGAAACAGCAAAACCAGTGGAGTTCAAAAAGTCAAACAATAGATTCGTCAAATTTTGGATTTCTGCTCCTTCAACTGTGTATAAAGAAGATATCGTTATCACAAATGTTGGAAGTTTCGAGAGTGAGATTAGCCACGAACGTCAAAATCATCACGAAACACTCATCCGTAGAAACTCTACTGCTGAAATACAACGGATAACTGCAAGAGTTGCAAGGAACTAACAGCTTAAAATCGAATCCAAAGAGCTATAACGGAATACAGAATAACTTAAAAGAGAAGCGAAGAAACACGGGCTGAAGCCGCATGCCAGGAAGAGAACTCGTTACGCCCTAACAACACCTTCGAGCGAAACTCAGTGGGAAAACTATAACGAACAAATAATAGTGGAGACTGCTAACAACTACTAACAACCGCCGATAATTAATAGCAGGATAAGCTATATCTTCAGTTGGAGTAGTTAGGAAGATTTTTAAAACAACTTTTGCTTCACAAGATTGCTGAGATATTTGCAAAACCCCGGACCACAGGTGTCTGCGGTGGGGACCGAACGCACTATTGTCCTTTCCGGGGAGTAACGCGTTCACCACCACACCATGCGGGTCCTTCGTTTCGGCTATCTCTCAGCTAGTTCTATCGATCTGTGCCGTTAGCAATCACCCGTCAACGGGATTGATCTGGGGAGCCCGCATCGACATTGAACCCAGTTAAGCTGAGGATGTAGTTGAATTCACAATGTTTACTTTCTACTTTTTGCCTTCTATTATTTTTATGGCAGGGTGTTAAGCGAAATAGAACCACAACGTTGCTGAGATATTTGCAAAACTCTGGTGTATATGGTGGAGAACGAACGCGTTCACCACCACACCATGCGGTTCTTTCGTTTCGCCTGTCTCTCAGGTAGTTCTATCGAATTTTTGCTTCAGTTTATCAAATCACCTAACAGAACACAAGATCTAAAAAATTGCTCTTCCTTAAAAAAAAGAAACAGGTTCTTTTATTTACACATGTAGTCAACAAAATGAAAATGAAGGACGGATACTCCTTGGTCTTAAACGGCATTAGAATATTGAAGCGTAAACATAGGGTAAAGTTTCGTTACTCAACCAGATGACAATGGTGTTCAACAATTCCAGCCAGAAGTTAAAAGTGAACTAGTTCCGGTAATTGCTGCCATCTTAGAAAGAAACGTAGTCGTGAAATGGTCAGCCTCTTTCTGAGTAACAATAGCCAACGAATGCCTATAATGACATGGAATGCCATGTAGAAATGCTTTAGTACGGAATCCTCTCATTTTGTAGGAAAAAACCTTGCTACGCCAGCAACACAGAATTGAAAAGGTGAACTGCTGAAGCAGATATGACTTTTCGTGAAGACAGATCGCTTAGGTATCAAAGAGCAAGCACTGCATTTATTGGTTAATGAATCAAATTATATTTTCACTTCGACGTGGCTAATATCTTAGGGTGGCTTCTACGTCAACGGAAAACTATTAGAAGAGATTATTCCATTACGGATTGCTTTAATATTCACCGATTATTAAGAATGCGATAAAGTTGATAGTGTAGATCGAACTGAGGAGTACTAAGAAATTCTCATTTTCAAATTTTCTAAGCAGTGAAAACGAATGAATAATGATTATGATAGTTTATTAGGATCGTTCCAATAGAAAAACGATGAACTTTAGAAACTCAGGAACTGAAAGACAAGGGGCAAAGAGTTCGATCAGATACGAGCTGAGTTCATCAGCAAATAATTGCGCGAATGTGATATGTTAATTACCTTGCCGCGGCTTTCGTTATATTATAGGAAGTTGTTTCCAGCTCTTGTGGTTGTTCGTTGCAATCTACTCTTAAATAGGATTCTTTATAAGGACGTCGGGCTTTCTTTGAAGTTAGCAGGTCTCACAGAAAGACGAAGATCCGACACTACATTCCACAGTTTAAAGTCCAGAAGCACCTCTCAGCAACTATGAGGCGGTAGATCTATAGGAGAAGTTGTGAAGGAGGATTAAACCTCCTTATTGGTTATAACAAATAGTTAGAACAGAAAGACATATTCTTACTTATGAACATATTTTGTCGGTGAGAAACACATAATACCATAGTTAAGCAGAGAATTGGCCAGAAGATGTTTTGAAGCTCTGAAATGGGAAATTCAAACTAGTCACAAACATTTCAACAAATCGTAATTACTATAATAAGCATTTCTATTTAAAAATAAAAAGTTGACAGAATATTTGTTCCAAGTAATGAAAAAAGAAATTCGGGGCAAAAATGTAGTTACGTGCTCGGCTAATTGATCACATCTAACTTTTCACCTCTCCTAGTAAAAAAAAAACGATAAAACCATCGCCGTTGATAAATCCCTGAGGGATGCGCCATGCATTCGACTTCATTAAACATAGTTGGAGGTGATTGAATGCATATCTGGCCGTGGTCTACCGATGTATCGAGCCAGTGCTGCTACCCTCCCAGACAAGTCTGGTACCAATTTGTCGACCTCGGAGGTATGGATGTATTGGTGAGCCACGGACGCGAGATCGACCCCATGTCTGCGTCACAGGGCGCCTCCGAGTACTACGCCACAAGCGCCCTCCTCTGCCAGTGTGACCCGAAAATTTCGCCTGGAAAGTTTTTTTGTAAATTATCAGTTGCAGGGAATAGATTGTCATGTAACAAGTCTGGCATTGCATATGTGTTTGATAAACTATCGACTGAAAACAAAAAGTGTGGCAAATAAGCTCTTTGCGACCAAAGAAAGAACTCCTAACTTATGAATTTAAATAAATGCATACGGTAATCTGTGTGTTAGTTCGGCCACCGATGATGTGGAACTGTAGACTAATCGATTCGGTACATGTTCCTCTATAGTAATTCGCAAAACCTCATCAAATATTAGTAATTTAACTAGACAATTTATTATCATTATCTGTTCGAAGTATCTATAACCTTGAAAATGTATGCCGCTGAAATGCACGGGTAAACTCAAAAACCCATCAACATCAGCTATGCACGCTACTTTTTCCATCTAGTGATTTATGCCTACATTAGTGGTTGACGGTTCGGTCACAGATGACTAATAATGATAACTGGAACTGACAACTACAGAATTATATATGTTCAGAATTCATCACCAATTTCACCTAGAACATGTCAATATGCTTGGGATTTTTTCTTAACCTTTAAATAAATTGATTTTCTCTACCGTCCAAAGCAGAAATAGTAGAATACGATTCCGACCAACAACGGAAATAAGGCCCTTGTTTGACGCGACACAGTGAAAGGCGCCATGAAACGCTTGTAAACGTATGCCAGTGGAAGTGATGAAAACATACATATCGCGAAATTCATCTGAATAGAAGAATTATAAAAATGAATACCTAAACAACACTGCAATAGGAAGAAATATGTCATGAAGAGAACACCTTATCAACCGAAACGCCACAATAGGTGGCGATCGGCTCAAGAATTGTAGAGCCATCGTAGAACGTATGCGCACCAGGCATTAAGGCGCCCTGCTCCTAAACATCGTGGAGAATTTTCGAAAAGTTGCGAAAAAGATTCATGAAATGAAAGAATGACTGTGATGTTGTGACCGACGAAAACGTCGCTACAAACGTACAACGAAGGAATGACGCAAGCCCAGTTTAAATCGGTAAACACTGATTGTAACACTTGAAAGAATGTCGTGATGGTGAAATACGAAATGAATTGCTAGAAATCTGCCATACAAACAAAACAACTGCCGTTTCCGATCTTCTCGACATCGGTAAACATAAAGCGAGTAATCGGAAACGAATGAAAACGTGTGTTGCATTCAACGGCGATCAAAGACCACTGCAGAACAGCATTATCGATGGCCCCATTCTAATACAACGTCGAACGGGTAGGTGATAAAACATCTCCGTGGGAAAAGCACATAGAAACCAACTCTGGTGCAGAAAAAGAAAATAGAAAAACAAAACGAACAAACGGAATAAATCACGGAAAAGAGGAGGAAACGATATCGATATAAAACGCGAGACGGCGAAACTAAAGGCATTCCATCATCTCATGACAACAACCTTCAACGTATTTTTAAGCATGTATATATATATATATATATATATATATATATATATTACCATATTTTTCTTCCGTAATGACACTAATGAAAGCAACAGCAACAAAGTAATAACTAGGTAGTATTAGAGATCAAAACTGTAGCACACCGCCGAAAATAATCTTTCGCAAGGACAAAAGAAAAACGGCCCGAAGGCGAAAAAACCTATCACTAGTAAAGCGAACGCTCTAAAGCAGTCGTAATAAAGTAATGACTAACTAGTATTAGAGACCAGAATTGCTGCATACTGAAGACAAACCTCTGCTTACAAAGAAAACAGTCTGAAGACGAAAAACTCCAGCATGAATAAAGCGAATGCTTTACATTTATTGCCTAAAATTGTACGGCCATCGAATGGAGACCATCGATTGCTGACAGAATGAATGAGGCGGGCAGTCGACGACAACATGCGCTCAAACGCAACGACGAAAATTACTTACTTCAACACTCCGTCGTCTAACTAACTAGTTCTGCATAAGCATACGCTTCTACTAGGAACACTCACTCCGAACCTCGGTGCCACTCCAATAACGCATTCTACACCTTTCTCACAAGTATTTTCGGAAAAAAAACGATCAAAATGTTTCAGACTAAAATAATAGCAGAAAGAAAAGAACCAAGCAAACCAATGCTAGTGGTAACAGCAGCTATGATAAAATAAAGGGTAAAGCTGTCGGCATTGAACAATCACTGAGTGGGGCGCCACTCGACTTCATTAAGCATCGTTTGGAGGTGATTGAATGCATATCTGGCCTTTACTATGACTCGTAGTGGCCTACCGATGTATCGAGCCAGTTCTACTATTCTCTCAGACAAGTCTGGTATCAATTTGCCAACCCCGGAGAAATGGAATGCTTGGTGGGCCATGAGCGCGTACATCGTTCCCACGTGCATGTTGCATGGCACCTCCGACCACTGCGCCATACGCGCCTTAGCAATCATGATAGTGGGAATAACCTCTCTGTCTAATTAAAGAACAACGATGTGTTCAAGTAGACAGAGATGTCTATCATTATGAAGAAATTCCATGCCAAACGAAATGATTCGTGAAGAGCAGAGACCACCCAACCACTTGTAGTAGCCACGTGTTTTTCGCCAGCATGCACGAAGATCATATCATCATCGAACTACGATCGTCCTACGATACAAAGTGCTAACAACATTTTTGTGAAATTCGATAAAGCACTACCACAAGTAATGCGATGAAACTATTAGAAGAATGCTTTAAAATAAGCGAAAGCACATTGTGATGCAAATCTATGGCTGAGAGAAATTAAAGCTGATGAAATGAGAGATGAACATTTGCTCGAAAGAGAAAAAAAAGTATACAAATGAGTAGATAAATCACTAGAAATGAAATGCTCTGTTCTTTTCGAGACTAAATGCTGCTCTGTGGTTTGACAGCTACGAAAACGAATCATACTATTAGATTCACAGGATTCAACTCGATTAATCAAGCAATAGTAAAACCCCACTCCAAGTACGTAAACGGTTGAAACAATCCTAAGAACGACATACTCGTCATCTACTCTGTAGATGACAAGAATGAGTGAGCGAATTCTCATGAATATTCAGAGGCAATTCCTCTACAACAACACCATCATACTTCATACCGCCTAAATTGACAAATTACATATGCTCGAATACGAATAGAAAGTTGGAAAACGAGTAGAATAACTCAGATCAGTGATACTGTAACCGATACCCTTGTCAGTTCTACGATTACATCTAATTTCGTGCTACAGCCGTTCAACAGCTACGCAGTCTATCATCTCGCTCAGATTGCATTGAAAAACTCGTCCGAGAAAATATTTTTAGATTATGAACAATAGAGCTCTTTTCAAAGACCAAGTCATTTAGGCCATCAGTATTCGATAATGTTAAATACGAAAAAAAATAGTAAGTAGACCTTTCACGACTAAATCAAAAGCCGAAAAATATACGCATTGAAATCAATACATGAGGCATTGAAATTATTTGCTAAGAACATGATGAAACATCAGAATAATCCATCCAGTACATGTTCGTCTACACTAAGTAGCAAAATTCGACTGAATATTAGGGATTCAAAGCGGAAAATTATTATCGTTATCTGTTCAAAGCGCCCATTTTTGGCCATTTACACAGGAAACTCGTAAACCCATTAATAGCTCTTGCGCAGGTCTTCTCTAAAGTTCTTGAGAGCTGTTCTTCTCTACGTCCAGTGATCTATGTCCAATTTACTGATTCGTATTTCGCCCCAAGATCTTTGAACACACTTGCATTTTTTTTCCATTCACATTTACATCATCCGTTATCACGTCTACTGTGAATATTTCAGAACTTCTTGTATTCGATTCATTTCGCTGGCTAAAATCGTTCACAACGGTCTTCGATCCGCATGTTGGTTTGACTGCTGCTTGTGGATTTCGGCGTCTTTAACGAATATCGTAGAATACTAGTTCCCAGGATCGACTTTCTCTTAACCTCGGCATTGGAATATGAATGTGTCGTTTTCTTGTTCAGCAATCGCGAGGTTTTTAAACAGCATACATTTACTTCCATAAAAACACAATACAATACAACGCTAGCTGACGTTTCGGCAGTATCGCCTTCTTCAGAGCCTGGAAGGGTATACTGATATACAATCTACTAGGCCAAACGCTTCAATAACACTTACACAAAGACGAAAGACTCTTTGGTAATTACATGATCAACAACTTCTCGAAAAACCCACCGCTTTTTCGTGACTTCCAATGAGGAAGTTTAGAACAGCTGATTATAGTCGCATGTGGTTGACGACTGCACCATCCCACATCAAAAATCGATGCGAACGTTTTTAGCCATCTCCAATGGCTACGAAATAGTAACCCCACGAGATAAGTTTACAAGGAGAACGACGCGTCCACGCGAAACACTTGGCCAAAAGAAAGTCCCGTTCATGTTGCCTTTTATAAGCGATGAAGAAAGCGTAGCTATAAAACGATGGTTAAGAAGTGCAGGTCTAGAGGAAACGGTAGCGATAGTTGAAATACCACCGGCTACTCTACGTCGTCAATTAGTTCGTACGCGCCTGTATGACCGTCTATGTGAAACAACAAATTGCGTAATTTGCCCTTACGGCAGGGACGGTGATTGCATGAGTTCAGGTACGATATACCTGATATCTTGTGGTACTTGCGGAGATGAATATATTGGCGAAACGGGCAGACCTTTGTGTATCCGTGTAAAAGAACACCTAGATGGCAAACGAAAACTGAGACGAAGCACCGCACTAGGAACGCATAGGATACAAAAGCATAGCGGAGACGATTTTGAAGCAAAAGTCAATATCCTTGCACTGGAGCCCAAAACACCAGCGCGAAAACTCCTTGAGGCTTTTTGGATCAATGCCAAAAACCCTACAATGAATAGCAGGGATGAATGCCCGGAGGTCATACGCGACCTGATCCCGTACGTTCGCATCGATTTTTGATGTGGGATGGTGCAGTCGTCAACCACATGCGACTCTAATCAGCTGTTCTAAACTTCCTCATTGGAAGTCACGAAAAAGCGGTGGGTTTTTTCGAGAAGTTGTTGATCATGTAATTACCAAAGAGTCTTTCGTCTTTTTGTAAGTGTTATTGAAGCGTTTGGCCTAGTAGATTGTATATCAGTATACCCTTCCAGGCTCTGAAAAAGGCGATACTGCCGAAACGTCAGCTAGCGTTGTATTGTATTGTGTTATTTTATGGAAGTAAATGTATGCTGTTTAAAAACCTCGCGATTGCTGAACAAGAAAACGACACAATCGTAGAATACTGTTCGAGTTGACTCTCCTTGTAATCTTGGAGATACCCGAACTAAGGCATTCTCACGCGGATTGGAGGAGAGCGTTGGGAAATGGGTCGAACCAGTATCCCGCTTCCTGAGTGACGACATCGCTGAGCACTGCGTTTGCAAAATATAATAATAAATTGAAGTAACAATGTGCGCGATCTGTTTGTTGAATCCGACGAAGGTTTTACAACAAAACAAATAGTCAGAAAGAATGTGCACTGAAATCAATGCATATGGCCTAGTCTGCCAACTCATGTGTGCTTTGGCATCAGTTGTGTTGAAAACGTGGATAAACATATGAAGATCGTTGGTGTGGATGAACAACAAGAGTTCAGCAATGATCTCTTAAAAGAGAGGGAGGGAGGCTCCTCGGTCAATGAGTGTGCAAATTGCACATGCCGAGTGAAATCGTTAGCATGCACTGCCGTGATTCTCACGCTCCAAAATAACTCACCGACTACGACGAATAGTGGGACATTTCGCCACGGTGAAAAATGCACTGATTTGAAATATAACTTCAATGGTGTTGAGATATTTGCAAAACTCCGGACCGCAGGTGTATGCGGTGGGGAACGAACGCGCTATTTTCCTTTCCGGGGAGTAGCG